CCTTTTTAGTGTACGCGAGTCAACTATAGGCATGCTCAACAAAATTTGAGCAAGAGCTCACAAAAAAGAGCAAAAGCTTGTTTTTATGCATATGAAAGTGAKCACAAGCTCATCGAACTTGTTCGAACTTAGTTCGAACTGAGCGAGACGAGATCAAACCTGAGCAGTGAGTAAAAGCAAATATACCAAATTTGTTTATGCATACGACAAGCGCCTTTTACTCAAAAAATCGAGTTCGAGCAAAAGCTCACGTTTTATGCATGAGACCCATTGTCTTCTTTTAGATCAATGTCATCGTTGAAAATTTTTTTCTCCTGAACAAACCGTCAACGCCAAGTTTTACATGGAAGTCCTCGAGAGACTCAAACAAAATGTCAATCGAGTCTGACAAGACATCGCACCAGATTGGAATTTGCACCGGCTTTCTTGTGAACAGCTATCTAACCAAGGCCGGCATCTCAACTCTTCCGCATCCGCCCTAGAGCCCAGATATGGCTCCCCGGACTTTTTTGTTTCCTTGCCTGAAAAGGACGATGAAAGGCAAGTATTTAGGGGTTCCAAGCAGCATGCACCTCGGCTCTCACGGCTATAGAAGGAGCCTATTTTGAAAGTTTTTAAAGAATTGTAATGATTGGTTCAATATTTTTTTTTTAAATCCACTCTATCTTTCGACACAGATATCGCAAACTTGGCACATGGAATGGCATGAACGAACAAACATTTCTTTGCGAATTATTAAAGTTAAAAGATTTTCGCGTTGCTTCACATAGTTTACTATTTTTTTTTTACCGTGAATAAGGCATGAAATTTTTAATTGTTTGAAAAAATGTATTTGGAATATTAATGTAGGAAGAGCTTACGGAAGAACGACACGTAGTGGACGTAACTACTGAATACTTAAAAACACAACCCTACTTACTTGACACACAGAATACGAACTGGACGAATTGAACGAAGCGTGCGCTTGACTAGAGACGAACAGACGAGTTGAATTTTAAACCTTAATAAAGCTACATCAATTTGGATTAAACTAAGTTAATTAATATTAAAAACCCCTCTTTTATTTAAAACTTCCACATTAATTTTTAAACAAATCGACCGTAAAAAATTAATTAATAATATAACACAAATATTTTTCTTCGAGTTCACAAAATTTCATCGATTTATTTGCAGTAGCTATGAGGAAATAGTTTTACAATGTTATCGTGCTCAAAAAATCAACCTTCAATAACATTAACAAATATCACAGGGTATGCGTTGGTCCCTCACCAATTGTGTGCCGTATATGGCAAAACAACATACATCACATTTACTATTGAAATGTCAAATTTTCCTTGGAAATTGGCATTCAATATTTAATTAACACTGTTTACTGATAAACACAAGTATGTACATATATATGAATTAGAGTATATTATTCATCGTAGGTGCCATCTCTTCAAACATACAAGATGGTCCGATCGATCGCGTCTTCAAATACGCTATACACAGCATCAATAAGGACACAAGCTTGCTTCCAGAGACGAAAATGACATTCGATTCATAGCACGTGATAAAGGATAATTATTTTCATGCCTGCTTTTATTATCAATGGAAATCCATGCGTCAAAACTGTACAACAATATCATTACAGTGTACGATAACGCGGCGACTTAAAATTTTTATTAAAAACTGTTATTTTAAGTTTGCGCCCTAATCGAGTCAGGCATACACGCGATTTTTGGACCATTCAACGCTATATTGGAAGTTCATATTCATTCAATATGCGATGACTTTGATATACCACACATAGAAACACATTATCACATAAGGTGGCCTATACAAAGTTTTCCATTAATTCACTATACATATGTATATGCTCCAAGTGGAAAAATAACCTAACAAAACTTCAAAAAATAATTAATTTAACATAGAAAAAGGAAAAAATACCCCTATTGTTTTAGTGAAACATTAGGAGGAATGGCAAACTACTTTGACGAACCTTTAGAATCCTCTTATAGTTTAAGTTTTTGGTGGCGAAGAGATTAGACAAAGATTTATTTAAAATAAAATAAAGATCTATTCCACATGTGGCCAATTTCTCATTATTCCCACTCTACATCATTTATTTCACAAATTTTGAAGGTAGTATTATTTAAAGTATTGATGTATATTTTTTTATTACATATTACCCACGTGGTCTTCAACTGCCGCAAAAGTTATGTAGATATTTTTAAGCTTAGAGTATTTCGCTTTTAATTTAGTGGTATGTTTGTGTTATTGTAGACCAATTTCCTTTGAAGCAAAAAAAGTTTAACACTTAATTTTGCTATAATGCAGAACAGAAGTTTAACATCTTCAGGATGCTATAATGCGAAGGCCAGCTTTTCAAAACGATCTGTAGATAGGAACGGTTGATTTATTTAAATTTGTTCATTTTATTGTGTTTCTACCCTTTTCCAGAGGTTATTGACATGTTAACCACAATTTCTAAAATTATGTATTGCAGAATAGACGACAATTTTTAAACTAAAATCGATAGATATTTGAAAGAAAATATAAGTTTACCTTCCTAACGGTTTTTATATGCCTAAATTATTATTTTTCTCTCTATGCCACTTTGTTCCTATTTTAGATTATTCACAAAAGTAAAGAAATTGTGCAACAAAAACGGTCGATGAATGCAAAGTCCTCATCCGGAAAATTCATCATTCGAGATACCGATACTGATACTGAAGAAGTCGATTACTTGCAAAACTTTGGAAATGGACGAAAGATTGAAATTACTACTACGAATTTGCTACTACAGTGGTTGGTAATACGTATTATATATAAAAATTTTTCAATAAACAATGTTTATCTTTTTACATACCAATATGTATTTACAGAAACAATACGTTTTGCAGCTAAAAGGTAGTTTAGATAGTATACAGAATGTGTTGCGAAGTCTGTATGGAACGGTACGGGTGGGAAGCAACCTCTCCAAATTCCTGCTGGTTTCTAACATTTTATATGGTATATTTTATTTTTTAATTTTACTTAAAAGAATTTGTTTTAATTTTTATTTTTTCAATCCGTTATTTTATAGATTCTTTCATAACTTATGGCCATAATAGAAATAAGCAAAACATACATATATGGAAACAGAAAAATTGAGGACATTTAATTATATATTTATTTAATGCCTCTGGCGTATTTTTTTATGGATTTATTGCGCTTTTAGTAGTTTTGAACGGTAACGTTATACGGGGAGTGAGCGGGATTATCTACCGATTTCATCCATTTTCACACTATAGGTAAGAGTTCTTATAATATTTGTCCTGAGAAAATTTGGCTGTTGTTGCTTTTTTGCCATATGTGATTCTCTATACAAAATTACGATTGAAAAACTGAATTTAGTAATTAATTATGTCACTTTATAAGTTTTCGGTTAGTGGCTATTTGTGGGCGTGGCAGTGGTCCGACTGCGCCCATCTGCGAATCGGAATTGTTTTAGTACTAAGAAACATGCATACTAAGTTTCATGAATGGTGGTGGTAAAAAATTTCATTGATATCCCAAATCGTTTTGTTTTATTTATGGGATCGTCCCAGTGTGATCCTCTGAAATGTCACTGAATTTTACGATTTTTTTTAATGTTGAAATTAACTAATCGGTCCTGATTTTTTTTATAAATAAATGCATCATGAACAACAAATAGAAAAATATTTTATTTGAAATTAACTGTAATCAAAAACTTTAATCCGAAAGCTGTAATTAAATATTTTTTAAATATACATATGTATATGCAACATTTTATGCACATATTTCTGTAATTGTTGAAATAAGGAAGCATCTCCATTTGTTTGTTATTCTATATTCAAAAGAAAAATTATTAAAAAAAATTATTTTTCAATTTTACTGAAAGTTTTTATTTGAGAGTTAAGCAATCTTTTTTCATAATACTAATCCTTTGGGTTAATGTTTGTTTTCCGAGTACATATAATATATGGATGTACATAATTGTAAGAATGAATATTTCTATTGTTAGCAAGAATTAAATGCTTTAATATTGGCTAGGTCTGAAAATGGAATAAGTTCAATATATGTGACCTGGTCTACGAAAAGGGAGCTAACGTGCGAAAACTAGTTTTCTGGGAAACAGCTGTTAAAAAAAAAGCATCTCATCTTCCATCCGAATCAACTAAAAATTGAAAATTGATTTTTTGACACCTAAGCCCCCTTTCCGTAGACCAGGTCACATATGTATACATACATGCACATATCAGTTCACACATTACATGGTAAGCATAATTTTTCTATATATATGTATGCAATTATGTATATATGCTATATACAATTTAGAATTCAATTACATACATGGTACATGTATTTATGTATGCTTATACCATATTTATGTAAAGGTTATATTGTATGAACACACTATCAAATACTTTTTACATACTCATGTAGGACCTAGTGTTTTGTATATGCGTTTATGTATTTATTGTGTTATTAGCATGCATTTACGTACATTATTTATATGTGATGTACATGCAGTATATTATAATATTTCTTATGATTAAAATTATTACTTTATACAATTAAATTACAATAATTCGTTACAATATATGTTTTTGGTGTTTTATCGTGATTTTTGTTTAATTGCTTTATTTGCTAAACTATTTTTGTATCTCTATAGATATAAGTACATACACTTACACATTTGTACATATACTGTGCACTCGCGATAATTCCTTATAATTAATATTCACGTCGGAGTTGACATATTTATTTCTGTTGTCAATGTATGTGATTTGCACTGAGAAACATGCAAAAGGAGTTTTTCGCCATTAAATAAATTTGTGCTAGTGTTCATTGCTATTCAAGATAAGTTATTTCAATCAATATATACTTTTGCAGAGGCATTTCTAAAGGAAAAAAGGAAGTTGTTATTAAGACAAAAGATATATGAATAAGATAAATTTGCCAGTGATTGATCCGGTAAGACAAAAGCGGGGATAATAACTTGATTATTTTACCTAACTATAGTTATTTCCACGTGCAGTTTTTTCTAGCCAAATAAAAAATTTTTTAATCACGTAGCTCATATTGAATAATTCATAGAATTTCATGGAATATTTCTATTTTTTAAATAATAAATGGCTTTAGTTTTTTGTCCCAGTAATTGCATAACTAGTAGTAATAATCATTAACTATGGCAGTTATTTTAATGTGAAGCTACATATAAAACTTTGATAAACTAGGTATGTACATTTAGAAACTCTTGAAATATGGGTAATTTTGTTACTTTCACAGATATTGTCTGTCAATTAGACAATTATTATAAAATTATATTATAATGCCATTGTTCATATCATTACAAACAGCAAAAACTCAAATTTAATGAAAATGTTAGAAAAAGAAATTACAATTGTTTCTTATTAGTTAGAAAATTGGAAAAATGCTTCTGTTATTCAATCGCGATGCGATAAAAGCGCAGTCTTACAGCGTCCGAAAGCGTGTTACACAAAATGACTTACATATAATTCACTAGTATTTAATCAAACAAACGCTGTTTGTATCTCGGTGTTTCAAAGTCTGTGTGTAAATATCTAAACCTGTTGATCAATCACTGGGACAAGTTGTCACTTGGTGTGTCCAAGTGCTTGTTATGTGCATTTAATCAAAGATGACAGCTTTAATTTATTAGCGGCATGTGATTCACTGCCGCTCAAATGAAAAGGTGCATGATTGTAAATTCTCAAACAATATTCCGGTTTACATGAAATTTTTTGTATACTATAATTCTTAAATCGTATATTAATTAGATTTAAAAGTATGATTTTCGTCAAATTATTGTTTATTCCATATTTATTTTTTTCTGAAATAGTATCAAAATTAGATTATTATTTAGATTATTTTGGTCATCTTATAGGTTCAATAAACAAAAAAATAAGTTAAATGTCCAAGCTTATTTTTATTTTATTTTCCATTTATTTTTTATTTAGTATATTTTTTATATATTTTTAATTAAGTTTAATAATGAATGAATCCTCCTTTGTTTGAAATAACTTCATATACGCGGTTTTATAGAGGAATTTTAAAGTCTTTGCAGTTACATATTTGTCCGACCCAATTTGAATTATAGGTTTACGCTTTCATTTTGGAAGAAACAAATTCAAGGTCGCAAATACCATAGACTGATACAAATATTTTACGCCTCCTTTACGCGAGTGGCGACGGTTAAGAAAATGCATTTCTAGAGCTCGTGATAATATTTGTTGCACCCATTTCGGCCGTTTAAATTCATTCCACGTTGTTCCATTCTTTTTCCAGCTCCAGCTGCGTTCAAATTGCAGTCGTGAAGCTTTGAGCCAAACGATAGTGGTAATTTATATCCTGCTCTGCTTCTTCCAATTTTTGAGTGATTGTGCAATGACTAAAACTACTTTAATGGAAAGCTTCGATTTGACCTCTTTCGTAGTCGAAAAGTCGCTGAGAGGAGACCCATTTTGGATTTAATGTACACAAAGTATATATAAAAAGAAAACTATAAATTAATTTTGCTCGCTATATCGCTAAATTTAATCACAAATTGAAATTGAAACAGCTGAATCTATTTAGATGAGCTAAAAAAAATGCTCAGAATTCAACGAACGACATAAAAAACAAAATATACACGGTTACGGAACTGCGCCAACTATACTTCAGTGCATATCGATCAGTTATGTGAACCTATTCAGTTGAGCAGTAGTGTATAGCGCACAAGCACATACCTTCTATAATCAATTGCTTATTACTTATTTTTTGTCATATTTATCAAACAAAATAGATATAATCATTGAGTCCGCATCGAATTCGATACAGTAAGATTTTTCGATACCTACGTATAATCACCTCTATAATAAGTAAATTGTTTTATAAACATTTATACCAAAAAACAGGGGGATGGGTCTACATTGTTCTTCAACGTTTCCAAAGCAGTAATCGGTAACTTGTTGTCTTTTGACCTTTGCTTCTGTCCCCAAAGGCCTTTGAATTTATCTCTGGTTTTCAAAGCACATACTTTTTCTTGAAGCAGAAAACTCAGTTGAAATCCATCCCGTACTTCTCTAGAAAAGCGCGTCTTCAAATTTTCGGCGATTGTATTCAACAGAGGAATGTAAACTGAGACAATGTAGTATTCTTCGTAAGTTCGCACGCATTAATTTTCCCGTTTTGCATGTTGTTGTTGTTCTAACGATTTCTCAATCTCCGTTAGAATGGTAATGGTTATCAGCGTTGTCGTCGACGTCATCTAACGGGAGGCACAAGAAACGTGCTGTTTCGACGGGGTCGGACCAAAGGGAAAAGGGTGTTAGGTAGGTAGGGTTGGTGCGGCATGCAAAGAGGTGGTCAGTGTCATGCGGAGACTCGTTGCATGCAGGACATACATTGGGTATGTCMTGGTCTATTCTGGATAAGTAGGAGTTTAGCCTGCTACAATATCCAGAACGAAGTTGCGCTGGGGTCACTCACGTTTCTCGCGGCAACTCGAGCTCTTCGTCGGCGATGGGTGGTTGTTTGACTCCAAGGACGCCATTCAGGGGAAGGGAAAGGTGTTGATGACTTCACTGCGAATGGCGATCAGTACCTGTCGGAAATCAGTTGCGTCCGAAACTCGGTCGGCGTACTGTACGACGTCGTCGAATTCATTATGCTCCATAACTGGGGCATAAGCGTCTGACTATATAGGTGTTCGATGGAATACATCAAGAGGCAGCCCGTCGTGGTCCGGAGTGCTGTATTCAGACAGGTCTGGAGTTTCTTAATCTGTGTACCACGGCATCCAAGCGACCATATTGGTGCTGCGTAATTGAGGACCGGCCGGCCGATTGCCTTGTATGTTGCGAACAACCTTTCTATGTCTTTTCCCTTTGTGCTGCCAGCTATCGACTTGAGGATTTTTTGCGGCTCTGTACCTTGGCGATAATCGCGGTCGTATGGCTAGTGAAGGAGCATAAGCTATTAAAGGTTACTCCTAAAATCTTAGGGTTTTTGGCAGTCGAAATTTTGACGCCATCGACTGCAATACTAAGTTAATGTCTATAATCCTTCGTCCAGTTCGTAAAAATGGTGGCTGCGGATTTTGTGGGGGATAGTGTGAGACTCCGTGCAGTGAGGAAACGAGAAAGGTCGGATAGGTAGTTGTTTACTTTCGAGCACATGCTATCGATTCCATTGCCCGACGTCAACATCGTGCAATCATCTGCGTATGAGGTTATGGAAACCCCCTTTTGTGGTTGCGGGAGTTTCGAAATGTACAAGTAAAATACTAACGGAGAGAGGACACCACCCTGTGGAACCCCTTGTTTAACTCTTCTCAGCTTAGATGCTTCACCTAGAAATATTACGGATGATTGACAACAGCTCAAGTAGTTCATGGTCAACCTCTTCAGTCCTGAAGGAAGCGTAGTTCTCTCCATGTCCTGCAGTAGTAGTATGTGTTGATTGTGTCAAAAGCTTTTGACAAGTCCATCGCTACGAGGATCGTTCTCTCATAGAGTGGTATCTGGTTGAGGCCACGAACTATCTGACCGTCCATGACGCTAAGTGCTGTGGTGGTGCTGTGGACTTTTCGGAATCCATGCTAATGCCTGGCTGGGCTGAGGTGACGAGTGAAGCTCGGGAGTAGCAAGGTCTCAAATATCTTCACTACTGGGGAGAGGAGAGTTATCGAATGATAGGTGTCCCCTTTGTTGGCGGTTTTCCCAAGTTTCAGCATAGGGCCCACTCTTCCGACTTTCCACAGATCGGGTATTTGAAGAGTGTCAGCGATAGGTTGAGGAAATTTGTAAGATATCTTACTCCCGTGGAGCCTAGATGCTTTAGCATTAACATGTTGATTCCATCAGGGCCAATGGATTTGGAAGATTTTGCTTTATTGATGACACTCTGAATCTCCTCATCAGTGAAAGTAAGCGGGGGCAGTTGCTGGGTATTTTGCGCAGCCGTCGATTAACACACCTCTTTGCTTTATCTACCGAAGGGTGTAGTGTAAACTGCCGGTTAAAATATCCTTCTTCGGGTTCGAGGAGGCATGACCATTGAATTGAACTTCAACTCGGTCGTCATGCCCCTTCGGGTTAGACAAAGCCTTAACAGTAGCCCAAAGCTTACTCACACCGGTGGAGAGGTAGCAGGACTTCAGGTGCTCTATCCATTTCGTCCGCTTATGGTGGTTTACCATACGCCGAATCTCCAAATTGAGATCCCCTATTCGGGGATCCTCAGGATCGACATGGCGTAAGGTGTCGCGCTCATTAGCTAAAACGGCTGCTTCCGCTGGGAAATTGGGGCGGATTTCTGCTATTCCTGCAGCCGGGATGAAGTGATCGGTAGCTGCTACGATCACCTTGCGGAATTGACGTTCGCCAACGCCTACGTCCATAGAAATGGGTAGAGCGTTGAAGGTGCTCTCAGTAAATTCTGTGAAGCCGACCCAATTAGCTTTGTTAAAGTTAATGAAGGTACGGTACAGAAATGAAATCAGGAGGCTTCTCGATGGAGAAAATTATGGGCAGATGGTCTGATGCGAGAGTTAGCATAGGTGGCCGGGTTATGCTATCTATCAGACCACCACTAGAAATGGTAATATCAGGCGAGCTATTACAGGTGCCCATAATGCTGGTGGCGGCTTCGTCATTCATTGTGCAGAATGTCAAATCGTCAATCTGTTATCTCTATCCCCTTACGATCATTTGACAGGCAGGAATGCCAAAAATTATGGTATGCGTTAAAGTCGCCTAGTACCAGACGGTTTTCACCACGAAGTAGCGCACCTATATTCGGGTGATATCCTGTAGGGCAACATATAACTTAGAGGATGTATATACTAAATATTTCGTTCTCGACATCGCCTGACCGGATAACTATACCCTGACATTCTGGGGTAGTATCCCTGTGGTCGATGTCTTCATCGATTAGACGATACTGCACGGTGTTGTGACTCGGAAGACCTGAGCGGCTTTTTAGTTTGATTTTTTGCACCGCAGATATCGATACTCGTTCCCGATTCATGAGTGCAACTATCTCCTCCATCTTGCTCTGGAGTCCGTTGCAGTTAAATTGAAGTACACGGGTTTGTCGCGGATGTCCGGGGGTGATCCTGGGAGTGAAGGAGTGGCGTGTAGGTGGTGGATGTTGCAGCTGCAGAACCCGCAGTGCCGGTTGTCGCACTGGGGTGTTCAAGTCAGAGTGAGAGCTATATTGCCTGTTTGTGCCCATTCGGGACCGTGGAGGTCGTCTGTTGGCCATTCGGGGTGAGCGGCGGCACGGGGTGAGTGGGGCCACGTAACTCGTGGTTCACTCCCTGTGAGTCTTAAGGCCTGAGCAGGTCTTAAGATGGATCCGAGGTGGTGTTTGGATGGAGCCTTTTTGCGTATACGCAAAACGAGGATACGGAGCAAGCTTGTTACAGGACATTGCTCCAATGACGACAAACACAGATTAACACTTACGGATCCAAACGGGGATCTTTTTAAAACGGGGTTAGATCGCCGAAAAAAACAGCTCGTTATCGGATGAAATCCGAGTCGATTCCGATGCGTATAACCGGCTGTCGTGGGAGTTGGCGTTTTGTTTGTCGGCCGAAGTGCTTGGTTTTCCTTCGTCAACTTTCTGAATATATAGATCGAAAATGTTCCTCAGCTCTTTGACTTCGATTTCGGAACGTTACAAGCAGCGTATTTATCATATTTGATGTCCTTGCCAGATCGGTCGATTCTTTCTGAAAAATCACGTTGAATGAATGAGTTCGAGATAGAATATCACATAGACAAAAATCCAAATTTTTGGAAATTTCCCCCATCTGAATCCGCTACTGGTATTCCTTATTGAGTCTCCGACGTTTCCTTCTGGACACAAAATATTAAAAACAATTCATCTGGCGAATGACGTTAAACCTATAATAAGTTGCCGCGAAAAGTTGGAACATCGACATCTCTAAGCGTCGAAAAATAAAATGTGACATGAAAGACGTTGACTGCGTCTTAAGGAAGACTAAGTTAACCGATACTTTCAATCGTGATACCTGTTTAATTTACAATCTCAATTTTGAAAATAATTGTTTGAACAATAATAGAAAAAAGAACCGTCAAGAGTAGAAAATTGTAAATTAAATAGGTTGACTTATCCGCTTTCATTAAAACTTTTTTCAATCAGATATTTTTTGCAATTTGTGTAATATAATCCAAATTTTTTCTCAAAGCAGTTTCCACTATTAAAGAATGAAAATAATAAGTATGGGGTAAAACATCTAATTATAATTTCGCATGTTAAGTACATTCAAAAAAATTAAAGTAGTGTCTCCTTTGAACCTTTTCAAAATAATTTCATGATTAATTCTCTTAGCTGTGAAATATTTTATAATATAATTATAACATCTAAATTTATTTTACTCGTTATTCACGACTTTCGTTATATAAAATGTACTTTGTACCAGTGTATACGCCAATGTCATGAAGAATGCATAGTTAATATTTCAAGGGTTTGTTACATTATTTTTATACTTGATTTAGGTTATCATTGGAGCGATGGTCGTGTTGATGGTAATGTAGCAATAGTATTGGTGGTGTTGGTGAAATTCATTAAAATAGTACCCCCGCTGTGTATGTATGAACATATGCACGTACATATTAGGCTGATATTGAATTACGAAATAGTGAAACTGCATTTATGTATATTGTAGATTTTGGTATATGCTTCTCTTTTATATTGAATGGACTTGACTCGCGGTATCAAGGTGAGTATATTGCCTTGTTTTAACAATTTTTTTTTCTTTTTTTAAACATGAACATTTTCGCAAGGTAAACGATTAAAGAGATACAGATTATTAGTATTCATAATTAAATTATACTATTTAGATAACATTTTCAATATTTTTGAATACAATGCAGATTTAAGTGTGTATATGCATCTGAATGGAATTATATAGGGGTATAGAATAAATTTTGCTGTTAATATTGAAAAGCAAAATCCCCTATCTTGAGGAATCGATACGGATTTCAGTAATACACTCATTATTTAATATATATATATATCAGTATATGTATGCATGTAAATTTAAAAACATATGTTGTATATTAGAATATAAGTATATCTAGATATGCCTTAGATACTAAAGTAACAACTTTTTTAAGTTTTCGTTAGTTTGTTGTTATGCCAGTAGGAGTAAAAGGAAGAAAAAGTAATTAACTGACTCTAGGTATTGAATAAAATGTTATTTTCTTCAATAATTATATTATTTAGCAAACATTTTTTGTATGGTTAACTATTGTAAAAATATAGGTCTTATGTAGACTCATATAATTAGTCATTATTATGTATACTCGAATATTAGATATGTATATGAATGTAAGAATATAATTACAGGCATATACATGTCGCTATTAAAAAGTTGACGATGCAGCTTTGTTATAGAGTTGTATGCAATAATACCGATCAATTTTTTTCACTAAATCAGTCCTTACTCCTTAATATCAATACATTACGTTGGGGTGGTTTTAAAACCAGCTTCCACCTCCCAACTTTGAGCTAAGTCCACCAATACCCTTTCCTAATAAATTGCCAACGCGACCAGCCACGACGTTAGTTACGGCCGCTGCTTGTGCGGCGGCAATTTTCGGTTTGGGTAAACCACGTGAAGCGCCTCCACCACCACCACCATCGTCACCGGTGACGTCTTCATCACCTCCTTCACCTTTCAGCCCATCCACGTTCCTTCAATAAAGTGCGTTAGCTTCAGACTAGCAACCTATATTTTGTGCAAAAGATTTTATTTGTTACTTACTCGTCACACTCGACAACATCAGGCATGGTTAACGCGCACGTTGCCTCCTCGGTGGCCATACGTTGGGCAACAGTTTGATATGCTTTGGAATTGAGTTTATCCTCTAGTACTCCTTGAAGCTCAAAATCGGAGTAAATTTTCTGCGGATGGTAATTAAAATAATAATTCAGCGACGCATATACATATGCATATATTGTGTACATATAGCGATACGGTTGAAAATTTTCTGAGATAAATTTTATGCTCATATTTTAACTTGTGCTTGTAATAACATAAGGTGACATTGCAAAAATATCTATTTACGCACCTTTGTTATATGTGATATGGAAGTCACTTGAGCATAGTGGAGAGCATGGTCTAGCCTCTCAGAGAGCCAATTACAAAGCATATTAATCTGCTGTGTATACCATTGTTCAAAAAAGTTTAGTGTCCACAAATCGTCGCCGATTTTACCACGTATTTGGTCCATGTTGTTACGAAAGAAATTTACATAACCTTGGCCGAGATCCTTCCCTGAGCTGGACACGTTTGTAAAGCTAAGTATGGAACCAATCAGGCTACCCTCGTCGTAACGTGCCATTTTCGACAAAGTCGACTCTAGCACAGACATAAGTTTACTAATGAGTCCTTGTGTCATAGCTACATTCGCTTTATCGATTTGGTCATCAATTTTTGCATGAAATTTGTACTAAAAATATGCAATAAAATACATCTTTAAGCTTTTATATAAGTTAATTAAAACATGTATAATAGGGTGATTAAAAAAACAAAATTTTTTTCGTTTGGTACTCTGAAAAATCGGTTCCCAGACACCTCTAATTAAGCCTCTCCAAGAATGAGTTCTTAATTGTAACGGGAAGGTCCTCCTACTAACAGTTTAATATTTTTTCTTATTATCAGATAGAACAATTTTTATCTCGCTGCCAACCACTTCAACAACTCATTCTTGGAGAGGCTTCCCTAGAGGTGTCTAGGAACCAATTTTTCAGAGTACCAAATGAAATTTTTTTTTTTTAATCACATTAATGTATAATATGTATGTGCCTTTTATAAGTTTTTTACATACATATTTCTTCATAATTATTATAGAGTAGATATTATATTTCAAAAATATTTTTTTGACGCAGACGACTAATACATTTCTTAATGGAAACATAAAGTATTTTAAAAATGTTTTTAAAATATATTCTGTTGTAAGGTTCCAGCTACCGACACAATTTAATACATTGATCGTATTCGTAACTTTTCGAAATTTATTAGAACGACTGAGGCGAACTGCACAAAAAAGTGCTCAACTCTTGTATAAAACAATTCTTCTATCTCTTAAACGGGAAAGGTTGTGATATTTTTATGTAGAAATTATTGAATATATTTTTTGGCTGAAATTTAAACGGGATCTGTTCATTACAAATGAAAATCATCCAATCGCCTGCTAGGGATCAACATATGAATCTCTATTGAACATAGTATATAAAATATTAAAGAACGTATATACTATACAATGATCCTTATGTTACACTTCTAAACACTGCTTCTGTCACACTATCTTTGTTATTGTATTTGATTATGTTGATTTGCACTCATTAAAAATATGTCTATAATATTTTTGTTTCAATCACGTCTAGTTTTTTGTAACAGCTACATATTCATGTCAGAAATCATATACGAGTACGTATATTATTTTAAATAACATCATTTTTAACAATTGTATTCGACTAACTTACTTCATATATATAATATTATATGTACGTTTATTATATGTCACGAAAGTGTCCTAACGATGCCGTTTCTGTTATCCATATGGACAATTAACTTTAAAATCTCATCGCTGTAATTTCATGTCATTGATTTAATAGTGCTTTTTAAAATATTAAGATAAATCTTGGGTTCCACATAAATGTTGCGTAATGCGTGTGAGACCGCTATAGCGCGCTATTAGGTTGGATTAAACCAGAATCCAGTCATATAATATTTGCAATACAATAATTTTGACCGATTTGGACTCAAACAAAAGGCATTACAACCAAGTCCAAACGCACTACCCACTATCCAAACTTGTCTTCGGCCAATAAAACCATTCTACATTGTGCCGAACTGCCTGTGCCAAGGCCTCCAAATCGAATAGAAAGACAAGATTCTACTTCGGAACCTTTTTTAAGTCAGCACGATTAATAATTGAATATAGTGACCTAAGTTATGAATCGTCAACTTCAAAGATCTGGTGAATTCTTCATAATGGTTCCTTGCATTTTTTTCTTCGGAAGACACCGTTCTCATTTCACAATTCGTAGCAAATAGAAGGGAAAATTAAGCAAATAATATAGCAAACCTATTATTTTTTCAACAATACGATTTATTATGAATAGAGACTTGAGCGATAAGTATTTAACGTGCAACATTCTGCAATCATCACAATTAATATTGAACGTGTGGCAGACGCCATTACTTTTCGCGACTATCTTAAATAACTTTGAGCGTTGTCTGATATGATAAGACTGAAAATAAGGCTCACGCCGTTAATATAATGCAAGTGAATAAAGACGCGCTTTTTCCCTGTAGTGCTAAATTTATATTCTTGAGAACCATATTACAGTGTCCGCTTTAAAACAAGAAAAACTGTGGCAACACATTTCTTATAGCTTATAAAGGATAAAATTTTCTATAATAGTCCGATATGAACTATTTCTTCGCAAATTGTACCGTTGTTGGGCAATAACCCGTGCCGAATTCCGTGGAGATAACTTACCAAACAGAACAATTCTCCACACAAGGCCCAGTTTATATGGCAGCTAAAGCCGTCCGATATAGTGTGCAAAATTTGAGATCGATATCTCAAAAACTGAGGCCCCAGTTCGCGAATATACAGACAGACAGACATTGCTAAATCGGTCAATTAGGAACAGTCTGGTTTAAAATAAACTTTATGAAAGAACAGCTCGCAAAGCCCCGTTATTGACACATAGACATCGAAGCTATCGCATCGGTTTCGCTAAAATTCGTATCAAATGGAATGTAAAAAAAATGGTGTAATGGACAGACGAAAGTATGGTAAATTTAGTTTAGTAAGGCGCCCGAAAAATGCAGAATTTCACCCCAAATATACTGCACAGGGGTGGAACTATCATGATATGGCGATGCTTCTCCTGATATGGTGTAGACCCGTACGTACACATACTTAATGGAGTTATGCTCCGTTTTGCAGAATGAAGGGGTTATAAAATGGAAGTCTCAGCAGGACAATTTCATAATGGAGTAGACGTTTGAGTCTAGTCTCCAAATCTCCGGACCTGAATCCAACAGGGAACTCGTTCAGGATTGTCTTACAAAAGATTGAAAACGTTAGGTCGAAATATAAGACATAACTGTCGAGAAATATCCATGAAGTTGGAATTCCAAACGCCAAACTTGTGCGGTCCTAGTGAACTCTATGCCAAAAAATGGCAAGCTTTGTTAAAACAAAATGGCTGGTCAAGAATATGCACACGGTTTTAAGTTCCATTTTAATAATATTTATAAATAATTAGAAGTTTTTTAATTTGTTGTCCTCTACCAATCTACTTCGGCCTAACATTTAAGAGTTATTTGTTTACAACTAACTTTATTTTAAGTAAAAATAAAACTTACTGAATCAGCCTATAATAATAAAAATTATTTGAACTTTTCATTGGTTGGGATAGATTAGCAGGTATTGCTCTTATTTTTTGTCCGACACTGCATATATGTTTGAAAGTCTACTTTTTAGGATATAACAATTAGATCAGTTTATAACAATTATAATATAATATAAATAAAAGAAATATTACAACAGCCATGGACCGTTGTCATAAGTAATTCGTGTTTACGAATTTAAACAATTAACCAAAAAATTACTATTAATATAATATATTTTGTAGATATTTTGATAAATAATAAGTTTTTTTATATGATATAAAAATATACCTACCAAATCAATACCATCTATTGTAGTTAGTTTAAAGCTTTGATTTTTAGCGTCTAATATCACATTAACCATTGCGCACATCTCCGAGGGTATTATATAATCGGTTGAAATGAAGGCCACATTTTTTTTTAGCCACGACTGAAATGACGCATCAGTACGCTGTATACATTGTTCAATCATTTCAGTAGCCATCATTTTCAAGCGTTGCTCCAAATGTTGTCGAAACTCTGCATCCGGCCAATGAAGATCACGTATGAATGATTGTAAGGCATCTAATTTCCAAAAGAGATCCTCGGATGTGGCACAACCATTTCTATATATATATGCATACAGCCCAACGGAAAAAATGTAAATTTGTTATTGTTAATGATAAGTGAAACAAAAAAGAAATTTCCAAAAATTTACTATAGAACTACCGAGTCAGTGACATTTCCAATATTAAATATGCATTTACATACTTATGTATGAAACTATCATTAATTTGACAGGAGTGCAATCGGTATAAATGTATGAATATAGGTATGTACATATGTCCAGAATGAAATTATTACAAGCAAGAATAATATAAAGCTTTTTTAAGTGCAACATTATTTCAATGTATGTATGCGTGCTAATTTTTAAATACACATTCAGCTATAGCTGTTTAAGGACAGAATTTTAATATCGACAAGCAATATCAGTTAACGAAAACTTAATTCACTCCTGCCTATGTAACACTTCTTACTTTTTTTTTTCAGTTTTAATAATCAGTTAGAAACATGCAAAGACTTTCTTGAGATGTCGAAAAAAATTTATGAGGACAAGGTTTATTTATCATAGCGCTATTTAAATAGTTATACAATTTTAAAATAAAAAGTCGATGGTGTATTTCAACACAATAGAAATATTTTAAAAACATTTTAAAATTAAATAATAGCAAACACAAAAACCACACTACACTTTATATAGCGGAACGATAACTTAAGCAAGTAAGGGGCTAAGTTCGAGTGCAACCGAACATTTTATACTCCTGCCACTTGCGGAATCAAAGTAAGGAGTAAATGTTCGAAAACCCTTTGTTATGTAGGGGCTAAGCTAAGTTTTCACTCAAATTTATCTATTTAAGGCGCAAAGATACACAGTTATGAGTAAAACACGCTCTCTTATTCTCATTGGTATAACTCACATATTGACCGATATATATGCGGTACAAAGTCAGCCCGAAGTTGAAAAATCTTTATATAGAATATTTGGGGGCTAAGGGATGTATTAGTCCAATTGAACAAATTTTTGACATACCGACATTCCATTATAAGAGAGGGATTATCCCCTAATTTACATTAACCGAAATTTTCGATCAAAAGTCAACTATAGGTACTGGAGTCTAAATAATCAGTACATAGGTACTGAACAGTTTTTATTGGATTTCAACAATTTTTGGTCTTAAGGTGGCACACACTAAAGAGATTATTCATGCAAAATTTTATCCCGTTATATTATTCATATATGAAGGAGGCGTGGCTGTTGTCCGATTTTATTCATTTCCACATTGTGATATAAGAATGTAAGAAGAAAGCCACGTACTAAAATTTGTCGAAATCGCTTTGGTCGGGTCCCGAGATATGGGAGCTCACAACAAGTGGGCGGTGCCACGCCAATCGTCTAATTTTCACACTGCCCCCATAAATCTCTCTCATATGTTATATGAGGAGTAAGCAGGGTTATCCTCAGATTCACACTGTCGGTAAAAGATCTTATAAGATTTGTACTCAGCTAATTTGATTGTTGTGGCTTTAATGGCTTAAGAGATATGTGCATTCAATTTATTATAGGGCAGGGCAACTTTCACTTTTCAAAAAAAATTTTACACAGGTGCCTCTTGCTAATACAGCTTCATATCCTAATTTAGTACTTAGTTATGGCACTTTATACGCTTTCGGTTAATGGCGATTTATGGGCGTGACAGTGGGGCCATTAAGCTCAGAGAGACGGACAGAGAGACATTCAACCGGATATTGATTTTTCTCGTCCTCATGATCATTTATATATATGTATATAACCCTATATCTATCTCATTTAGTTTTAATTGATACGTACAACCGTTAGGTGAACAAAACTATAATACTCTGTAGCAACTAGTTGCAAATTTAAACTAAAGCAGCGTTCGAATCTCCTGCTAAGATCGGCGGTATTTCATCAATGCCTTGGTCTGTACACTAACTCTGAGAGAAAGGGCTATTTTATTTTTGATGACACATTTGCAATTTAAACTTTTCTAGTAAAAACTCAATTATGTTCCTCATATTTCAAGAAATGGTCTGGTAATTGGGGTGGTAAACACTCTCTTAAAAGAATCAGAAGTGTGTACTTTTAATCGTTTGATATTTTTATTGAATCAACATTAGTTTTTTTGTGTACATCTGTATATAGTAGATAAACATTTATAGCTTCATAAATTACATTTGATATTCCATTTGTGCACAAAAAAGTTTGTGTTCTTATGCGAAATGGGCAAATGGCTTTTTCCGAAAAGGAGGAAACCGCACGGTGCCCTATCAGGTGAATATCAGGAGTGGTTAATGGTTAAAATGTGATTTTTGACCTCTTTAATGATGTCCTTCGAATGCTGGATTCTACGCAAATTTTAGTGGTCAGTCAAGTTGTGCGCAACAAACCGTGCACACACCTTTCGTAAGCCCAAATATTCGGTCAAAATGCGATAAATCGATGTTTTGGAGATGTTTAATTCCATTTCCACGTATTTCAATGATGATTTCGGCTGATTTTTGATGAACTCACGCACAGTTTCGATGAAATCGAATGAATCGAATCAAATGTTGATCGTCATATATGTCCTCACAACCACTTTGAAAACGTTGAAATCACTCCTGCACTCTGCTATGGGGTAGGCAATTATCGCCATAAATTTGTTTCATCAATTGAAACGTTTCGAAAGTTTTACCAATTTTAAAACAAAATTTAATATCGGCTCTTTGTTCGAAGTTCGCACCGATAACATAAACAGACTGATGCTTAAAACGCATTAACTTCAATTCCAATCAATGAAATGTCATGAAATTCTCACTGGACAATCGATAAAGATAGCAGATTCTAACGCACCAGTCGACATATAGATGACGCCACCAGGGAGCGCTAAATTCAAAAAGATCCCTGTATACTTTGGAACGCACCTTGAATATAATATGACTCAAAAATGTTAAGCCTTCGGTCTCAAATACCTTAGTATTATGCATGCCATAACAAGTCTCCCGAAATTTTCAAAAATTTTTGGTAAATATATTGTATGGCATGGAAATGTTGCCCATAATTATTGAATCCTCTTACTTGCCGGCACAAAATACCCTTATGAACCCAAATTTTATAGTAACACGTTTTACATATATATATATTTTTTATGAAGAAATATTTAAATACTAGTAACGTTCAACTTTATTAACGAGTGAAAATATGTATAAATAATATATAAAATAACAATTTAAATAAAGTACTCATTTGCTCATGCAAAGTAATTGGTGTCAATATTGTGCGTTAGCATAACCTCTGAAAGATCTTAATTTGTCCACAAGTACATTCGTATTAACATACATATTGATAAATTCATTAGTTCGATGAATATATGTATGTATATGTATGTATGAATATAAATATATTTATATGTATATAATAGCGTTCTTCTAAGCTGTTGTTTTATACGTATATACATAAATGTAGGTAGATGGTAAATTTCTTCATTATTACGATATTAAATGAAACCATCCTGAAGTGGATAAATCTTCCTTTAACAGGAATTATAATACTGTGAAAGGAATAATGAAGTAGTAACTATTTAAATATAAATACTTAATGGAACCTGCAAAACAACGGATGTTCTCAACCTATAGAAAATATGCACATTTGTACATGGGCGCAGGTTGATTGATGGTTCGCCCAACTGCAATAATAATCCACCTTAGGAACCTAGAAACATGTATACCATAGATCGGTACCGGTGTCTGATTTGGCTACAACAAGTATACTCGCTTAATATTCGGTGCATGGTTTGACAACTTTAAGTGATCGCTTAAAATGCGGCGTAATATGCAGTATGCAAAATGTGTGAGTGGGGCGCAGACAACGCACAAAAATATGCGGAGTAAAGAAACACACTCAAAAATTTACTTTGTGTTTTTTAGCACTGTTCTTCTTATATCGTGTAATAGCATACACAAACCGAAAATCGATCAAGGCGAATGTCAGATAGAAGAATGACAATATGCAAGACCATAGTTCGAAGTTTACCGTTGTTTTTGGCAATTTCCTTTAATACCTTTTGATGTGAATGCATTCTACTACTGTACTCACTGGCTTTATTATTCAAAAGATTCCAGTCAAGACGATCCCAAAATAATAACAAATCGACGCGTTTATTGACGAACAATTTCGAGTGGTAAGGTGTACATGTTTATTATAAAATAAGACATGAAGTTTTTTGAATTTTGCTTAAATCTATGAATATATAATAAATATAATTTGTTTAAGTGGATTTTAATTTATATATACTTTTTCTAACCAGATTTAAGCATCCACAAAATCAAGCAACTCAAAAAACGGCACCAACAATTTAGGGGTTGTTTTTGCATGCACGACGTGTATGCGGTGGAGGCACACAAGAGTAAAAAGTCTATCATATCCATAGCTGAAGCTCATTTAGGATATCGCGTAGAAACAACGCAATCCAATAAAAACACCACATCATTTTTTAAGTGGTGCTTTGGCACACGAGTTTATAAAACACTTTGTGCATGTGTGGCGTACTTGTAGTTGCGGTGCACCAATTCAGATCTATGATGTGCACCAAGTTTCATCGAGGTATCTCAATTTTGACACGGACGGAAAAGCCGATAATCACTCGGTATTATACTCGACCTGTCATCCTGACCATATATATACATATACTACATCTATCTCGATTAGTTGTAGGTAATACAAACAACCGTTGTATGAACACGGTTCGGGAGGGCTTCACATCAGCAGTTGTCACCTTTATGTCTCATAAGCCGATGTCACCGATTGCAACCAATTTATATTTCTATAAAAGCGCTCCCATTTATCACGATTTTAAACCAATATGATAGTTTCACTTTATAGTAAATAACTTAAACACAGCTAAAGTTATAGATATAAAACTTTGCACACATAGTGGCTTTGAGGCACGGTATTTCTAGATACCAAATATGTGGTCTACATTGGCTATGACTGGCTTTTACCGAAATATCGGTCAATCCGTGAAATGTATTATTGAGATATAGAAACAATCTTTTCCCTATGATTATG